AAAAATGATTCCTAAATTGTCTAAGGCTACATACGACATTCAAATACCCAAGGTGAGGCTCGAAGTCACAGGTGATCCTCTATATCATAGGAGATGAATTATTTCATTTGGCTTACGTGAAACTGTTCGTAGTTGAAAGAAAAGCTCTGACGCAGCTACGTGGGAAATTAGACAGTGCGTCAAGTTCGGTTGAACAGGGCGTTCGCAGATAAAGACGCATCCGAGTTTCACGTTAGCAATATCTCTGTTTTCAAATGATTTTTTTTACTGAACCAATCCCCCTCTACAGTGTTATACGTATCCCGTTTCAAGGCAAATGAATTTCAGACGCATCGATTGCCCTTGGACGTAAAACTCACCTACCCGGTGTATAAATCGCCTAGGCGTACTCGAATATTAAAGTGTTCAGTGATTAATGGTAAGTATGAAATCGTGTCATCACTCGGTTGACTTACCATTAGTAGTGGTCTTAATGATTTTGCGTGCATCGGACCCGCCTTAAAATGGCGCGAGGAGAATACTCCGCCTCTGACGTCATCCTCTGTATCCCGCCCCAGATATTACCAGCGGTTTGGCAGTGAAGCGGTAGACAAAGTTCAAAGACGCAAAAAATTCGGTGATGAGTTGAATTACGAACCTTGTGAAATCACATTGTTTTTTCGTATATCGCAATAGCTTTCCACCATTTGACGTCATCCTCTCTCCTGCCCCATACATTATACAGGCTTCGGCAGTAAAACAGTAGACAAATTGCAGTGAATTGATAAACTTCGGTGATGAGGTGAATTATGAACCTTTGTGAATATGGACCAGTTTTTGTTTGGTGACAGGACTTGTTCCAACCAGAGTCCACATTTATGCTACAGCAAAACTGAAATCCCTGTAAAGGTCATTCTTGCATCATTCTGTCATTAGAATAGAAAACGTAAGATTAAAAGCCTAACCTTCAACCACATACTCAGTCTATTATTGTTTCATTGAACTTCCTTCTCAGAGGATACTATGTCCTACGCTGAGATGTTGTGAAACACGATGAACGTTACTACATCTCAGGATTAGTGAGGTCCTATACGATTCATGAGTGGAATTCAGCATTTCCACACAGAGGCTTGTTCTTTCGAACCCGACAGTAACTTTTCGGTTTCACATTATTCATTTCATAAGGCTTCATTATTCATTCCATCTCAGTTTCTTTGTTCATCACAGCACGACAATCATAGGCGTGTGCGAAACAGAGAATGGTGAAGTGTTCGGGACACCAGCCGGGAGATCCAGGGTTCACTATTTAGGATTCAAATTGCAAATGAACCTCAATAAGGGTGGAACAGATGTACAGTGCTTCGCTGCTTCACTTACAGGAGAATTGTTGATTAACATTTCTTGATCAGTTCCCTTCTTGTCAATGGTAGGCAGGCCTTTCCGTCTCCTTCAAATTCAATGGAGCTCATGGTTTTTTGGCTTTAAAACTCACGGGCAATTTCAAAGAAAGAAGCTCAGTCATACTCGCACATCACTTTCTGCGTCTGCGGCACCTCTGTGCAGACATCTACAGTCACATAATCTCTCCTGATGCTACACCTTATCTCTCGTCAGTCTATTCTGAGAGATATGTTATTTTTGCGGTCGTTCCAGGTATCCACGGCCCCGTAGGAGAGGCAGTTTGTACGACGAATTCTACCTTAACTTCCTTGTTGACTGCTGCGGCCCCGAACTGCTTGTCCCGCACGGTGACCAGCATAAAGGTGAACGGGATATCGCTTCAGGCCCTCATAGACACAGGAAGTTCGAGCAGTTATATATCTCCTTTGGTGGTTGGTAAACATGGCTGGAAGGTATATGCTAACAATTCTGTGATTACCA